AGGGGGGGGGCAGTGTCTGGCAGGGGGGGGGTTGGGGGAAGTGGGGCTGGCCAGAGGCACAGCAAGGGGAGCAGGGGGGAAGAATGAATCGGCCTGCAGGGAGTGGGACTGACCCAACCCCGTTCCCCTCTCCCCCCCCACCCACAAAGCACAAAGCACGAGTTAGTCGGGCACAGGGATTCTACTTTTCCCCTCTCCCCCCACACACACACCCTCGAGTAGTTGCGAATTATCTGGCTGGTAGACACACTCATGCAGCCTGAGCACATTTACCAGCCAGGCAGTTCGAAACTACAAACTGATACATCTAGTAATAATACAACCTACCTACTGAGAAAATACCAGACATGTTATATGTCTGGTATTTTCTCAGTTTGTTTTTCACGTGTTTATATTTTTGGACTGCAAAAGGAAGAACTTAAAAAAAAAAAAAAAAGGTTCCAACTAAAGAAAAAAGTTTGGGAAACCCTGGTCTAACCAGCTTTCTGTCTGTCTTACAGCCCATTAATCCAATCCATATTCCTTAACTTGCTGGCAAGAATATTGTGGGTGACCATTTCAAAAGCTTTGCTAAAGCTGGCACTGGGAGATTTGGGAGAATCAGAAACAGCTTATTTGAATATTCATCATTTGATTAATGAGTATGCAAATGAACATTACTGGTCCTCCAAAAGTTCGTGAATAGATTTACTGGTCCCCGTCTCAAAAAGTTTGGGAACCCCTGGATTAACCTAACCTCTTGTGTAGATGGTGCTGTTGTGATAGGAGGACTTCTCCCATCAACTTAGCCACCTCTTCTTGCAGAGGTGGATTTACTGTGCTGGCAGGAGGAGCTCTCTGTTTGGCATAGTATCATCTTCCCTGACATGCTACAGATGTGCTGCTGCAGCTTTTTAAGTGTATTCCTGCCCTAAGGGTAGGGCGGCCATTGTTTGTCTTCAGTGTCAGTAAATTGCTCTGAGATCTTCCGTTAAAAGGTGCTTCGTAAATACCAGCTATGAAAGGTGCTGTGTTATGGTTATTGTTTGTGTGTGTCAGTCTGGAAAGTGCATAAATGTAAGCACCAAACCTCCTTTTTCTTTTATTTCTGTGTTCTTGCTGTGGATGCAAAATGTTACATAGCAGCTAGGAAGCTGGCACTGTAAAGATCTCCCTCTCTCTCTCTCTCTCTCATCACTATGCTGTTTTGTCTGATTCCAAGAGCCATAGGATTGAACATATCTCAGCTGGGCATCATTATAAGCTGCTGCTTTCCAGTTTGGGTGACATGTTGAATTTTGCCTGAAGGGTGTGAGTGGGGGAAGGGAATTTCTTTAGGCGATTTAGAAGGCAGGTGCCTTAGGGGACATGAGGAGAGGAAATATTAATAGTGTAGTTTTCATAATAAACTAGTATGTGACAGGTTGCCAGTTGCAGACATACAAATGAGATTGTGCCAGTCACCCCTATAACAGGCACATCAGAAATAACAACAGGGATGATGATAATCACAGATATTTATGTGGTGCTTTCCACCGAGAAATCCCCAAAGCACACAGCAAATTTTACCAGCTGGGGATCATTTTGGCAATCACCTCAATTCAGCCATTCAGGGATGGAAAGTGCTTGTGTTTGAACTGTGCGCGGAAACTGTATATTATTGTATAGAACAGAAAGTGCCAAGTCCCATATTCAATCAAAACTACAGAAAATTCAGATGGACAGAATGTAGTTATCCCAATAAAATTTAGCTAAGATACCTATGCTGATACTGTGCTGTTTCTAATGTGCCGTAAAACTTTTAATTGAACACAAGTAGGGATATAAAATTTCAATTATTTGGCTAATCAAATAGTCAATGCAGTTTGGATTGACTATTTGATTAGTCGATAAGGGCACTTCCACCTTTAAGGTGTAGCAACAGCCCCAGGGCTGTTTCTGTACTTCAAACGTGAAAGCACTCAAGCAGTGCCCAGCTGACCCTGGGCTGCCGCTTTTAAATGCTGCAAGGAGCTTGGCAGGAGCCCGGCGTCAGGCTCCATGCAGCGTTTCAAAGCTGCAGCACTGCATGGAGCCTGGAGTCATCAGGGAGTCCCCAGCTGACCCCAGGTTCCACATAGCACAAGAGAAGAGTGCCCCTTGCATTGCAGTACCACCACTAATAATTCTTGTAGCCATCTGAGTTCTCCAGTCTACTTATCTTAGTAAATCTGACCAGGTCAGTCTGTAGGGTTATGGTTTCATCATAGAGGCAGCTGTTCAGACCAGCAAGAGTAGGGATGTAAGCAACTAGTCAACTACCCAATAAGCAAATGCAAATAAGTAGGAACGAGAGCCCCTTGCATTGCAGTACCACCACTAATAATTCTTGTAGCCATCTGAGTTCTCCAGTCTACTTATCTTAGTAAATCTGACCAGGTCAGTCTGTAGGGTTATGGTTTCATCATAGAGGCAGCTGTTCAGACCAGCAAGAGTAGGGATGTAAGCAACTAGTCAACTACCCAATAAGCAAATGCAAATAAGTAGGAACGAGA